TCCCTATAAAAATACCAATCGGGTAAGAACATGTCTAAAACGTCGCAGAAGAGCAAGATAAGCACCAAAAATCGTACCGAGATGATCCGACTCCGGACACGTGCAGTAGACAGGTCCACATGGTGGCCGCCCCAAGAGGCGCTCACCGGATACCCCCTCGGCGATGGTCTCGCCGGCGCAATGGAAGGAAAGTATTCATAAAACCAGATCTACAAAAAAGCTAAAGCATGAGTAAATGCTAACTAAACATATAGGGCTAAACTTTATAGGGAATAATGTTTACCTCTACGACTTTCCAGAAAGCAGACAAAGCAACATTCGTCCTAAAAGACCGGTGGCGACATGAGTCCCTCAGTGCGCGAACGAAGTCAGTATAGGCCAAGCTGGCCCAGTCATAAGTCCCAATCCGCCGGAGATCGCGAACAGAAAGGAGGAATTAAAGCAACGCCCTACTACCCCTGTCAGGGGAGAATGTCCCTGACAACAACATCAGCACAAAAATGCGCACCCGCTGCTCTCGGGTGGTCGCATCATCGTCAAGAGCCGCTGCCAGCGTCGAGCGGCGAATCCCTCTAGCACTGAACTGAGTCGTCTCGACCTCAGCTCGGGCCCGAACAGCAATCGGCCCCAGCAGTTCCTCGACCTCTGGAGAAAAGACGTCGATACCGCCGTCAAATGGCAGCGACACAAAAGAGAACTCCAGTCCTGTGATGAGACTGAAGTCTGTAGGAGTGACCATCATCTCACCCCATGGAAAATAGGTGTTGGTGGTGTCCCAAAAGAACTCCACCAGAGCACGTACTACGTGGTGACCCCCGCTGGAGGCAACCATAGCCTCGGAGGTCTCAAACAGGGCAACCAATCCGCAAGACTCCCATAGGAGTCTCGTCTCTCGATCTCTGGCGATATGCATCCTATACAAATCGCCTAGGCCATCGCAGCCAGAGCCGTGATGTCGTGTCCTCCCAGGCTCGGTTCCCCGTATCACCCTCTTAGAAATGTGGTGGACAGGGGCAAAGAACAAGGTCTGCTCATCCCACTCTGGGAACTGACCAAGCGAAGTGAACGGTGTGGTGTCGTCCTCCACGGGCTCATGCTCCCGTCTAGTGTTTCGGGACCGTGAACCTGAGCCTCGTTGTCTAGCCATGCTACATTGTGCAGAATCATCATAAATCAAGGTTCTATAGTATCTAAAGGTTTTCCTAGCCGCATGATACTATGTTCGCAAAAACAGAGTACGTAGTACTAAAACAGGGCACAAATTCAAATTGAGCATGACAACATTTTTTCAAGCAATCAAACAATTTCTTGCAACACCATAGTGATTATTGTGACAAATTGAACAAGAATTGCTAGCAAAAATATCAAGAATGAGTCACATTGTTTTTCACGACCTTAGGAGGTCTAACCATGGCGGATTGCTCATTTCTTCGCCAAATTGAGTCAAACAAGTCTCAAATTACTCCCAAGGAAATATACAAACATAAACAAGCAATTTCATGGCATAAAAGTTGATAAACAAAGAAAATTGAGCATTATAAGTTTCGAATTTTCATGAAATTCGTGAATGAACATGCCAAAAATTCATAAAAACCGGTGTGAGTTGGAGGAAAACTTACATAGATCGGGCATATGGATGAAAAGAGCGGTTGAGAAACGAATGAGCAACGACCAATTGAAGTTTCGACTTCTTTCGAGCAGCGTTCGCAACAAACCAGAGCACGAAATGAACTGAAAACGGGAATTTAAAGTGATTCCCGTGCTGGCGCCAGTCCCTAGGCATTGGCGTCACATTTTGTGCTTGACGCCAGACGCCAATTTCAGCGCATGGCGTTAATGCCATAAGTCTGGCGCTGATTAATTTTCAGCGACGCCAAAGCAGCCAGCCACCTTTTGGGGTTGTGCTAACCTTCTGCAATATATTTTGGGTTCCTTGGTACGCCAGTTAGCCCCTCTAAGCAATTAAACATGATTAGGTAATCGGCTTGATTACATGAAGTGATCGACCTGATGAAAAGATCGTCTCACTAAGCTTAAAGCGCCTAGGCATTGGCTCATTAGCAAAAAGCACCGACATACAGGTTCATTAGCAAAAGGCACCGACATATAGGTTCAAGAGCAAAGAGCGCCGACGTACAGGAATAGCAAAAGGCAAGTTCAGGCGAACTTTTAAAGATCGACGGGCGTGGATCTTTGGTATTTTCCTTTGGGAGATTATCGCATCAAATGAGGATGACTTCAAGAGAAGATGTCTTCGACATCATTCCCTAGCTTGCGGAAAGTTGTCACAAACCATTGAAGGTAATTTCGGGCAAAATTGTCTTCGATCATAGTTCCTGAGGCATAGAAGATGATCATAATGCGGATGAGAATTATTTCAAGAGAAATAATTTTCGATGATATTCCCTTGGACGTGGTATATTATCATTGCGGAGAAGATAGTTTCAGGCGAAGCAATCTTCTAATTTGGAAGCAGTTACAAGGCGTAGCGGTTTTCACATATTCTCTAGCTTGCAGGAGGTCGTCAAAACAACAGCAAAAACAACAGCAACAACAACAATCAGTTACTTTCAGAGACGTGTGCCCGACGGTGCAAAATACGCGTTTCTTAACTCTTTTATTTGTTTAACTAATGCTAGTTTTGCAGGTATTGGCGTTACAAGAGTGATTTAGGATCGCAGAACGTTCTGAATCATTCTCCGTCCCTATCGATACTTTGGCTTTTGTTTTCGAAACATGCGTTTCTCCAAACTCAGTCAAAGTGGGGGCTTCTGTAGACACCCATTTGTGTCTCCCCAAAACCAAACCCGGTGATGAGTACCTTTCACGTCGAATCATAATCGAATGAAACGAAAGTGTGGAAAGGTCTAGTGTTGTGGAAAGTTTTATTTCTTTTCTTTTCTTTTCTCTTCTCTCTGTTTTTGAAAACTTTATTTCTAAGAAAATAGCCAATCCAGTTTGGTTGGTCCATGATATGGGTCCAATAGTGGTGTATTTGGATGGGGCTTGCAAAGACCTTTCCAACGATATATTATAAGCCCAATTCCGATGAATATTGAGGAAGTTATGACCAATTTACTAAACTGGGCCCGGTTTGAGCTTTAAGTACGGCCCAATGATCTAGGGGAGGGCCTAATATGATTTAACATTTCTAATGTAATTAGGAATGGTTTTGGTCTTCTAGAACATTCTAGAAGGTTTTATCATTCTTAATTCAATTAGGATTCTTCAGAGTTTTAATCAAGATCAAATAGCATTTTCGACTGAAATTATATTATTTTATCTTCCAGTACAGTAAAATTATCAGATTTTTGAAAACGCGTTAAAATCCGGTTTAGCGTCCAACCCCAGGCCTTGGCGCCTGGAATCAGGATTGGCGCCAGACGCCAGCCATTGGCGCCTGGCACTAGCCACTGGTCCTGGCGCCAATGAGCCAGGGCTGGCGCCAAGTTAGTTTTTCGATCTTCAGACTCTGTTTTGATAAATTATCTTTTTTGGATGTTTTTCTCTATAAATATCGTATCAAAAACTCCGTTTTCAATCATCAAGAGTCACCAATTCTCTTTATTCTTAAGTTTTCATCAACAATCACTTTATCAATTACCATTCATTAATTCTCTTCAATCATCATCTACATCTATCATTCACCAATTCTTTTTATTCTTAAGTTTTAATAAACTCCGTTTTCATTCATCATCTACAATCATCAATCGTCAACAATTACTTTATGAATCATTAATCTAGCATTCTTTCTAAACTTTGCTCTTTAATACAAAATTCCGCATTCACAAGATCTTGAAACACCTAGCCATATTCGAAGTTGCCTTCGCCCTAGACGTGAAAGGTTTTAATTTCTGAGGGTTTGGTCCCAAATCTCTATTTCAATTATTTAATTTAATTTTTTTGATTATTATTTTTCCTTGAAGTTACTAACGTGTGTATTTTGTAATTAGAAAGAGGTATGAAGCATCCAAGTAAGTACTTTAATGGTTTAATTGATTTATGATGTAGATATCATGCTTAGATTGTTATTTATGATTCCTAGTATCATGTCTAGGGTATCTTTAATATTAAGTATGATAAAGTATGATGCTTCCTATGTTCTTCCTAATATCTATGATTATGATTATCACGATTATTTATAATTATTGATTATTTATTATGTTGCTTGATATGCATATTATTTTATATTGTTATTGCTTGATCACCTTTATTACAGGTTAAAGGGAATTGGTATTTGCAATCACGCTTAATAAGATAATTAATAATCTTGTTAGGTTAATTGTGATTATAATTCAAGTGATCGCCAATAATAGTTTATTTGTGCATTAAATTCAACCAACATAGATAAACAGGTTTAGGGTTAATCCTATTGATTGCATGTTAATTAAAAAGCGCACATGAATACGAGCAGAATAAAGTAGAGCCTTATTATTAGGGCAGGTTCAATCTCTTTTAGGTTGGATTTGTACCTTCATCCTCGGACCCTTATTTGGTTCATGACCTTATGGAGTTGACGATCTCTTGGATCGTTAAGGGGTGTAACCTTCACCTCGTGAACGGTTTACAAGTTCCTTAAAAACTTGTTGGCGACTCTTTTGCTCTATCTTCTTCCCTTTTGGACGCCACCGTACTTTAGTGTATGATCACAGTGGGGTTCAAGCTAGTGGGATTTTTAAAGGCTTGAAATTATTCCCTACAGATGTCTTAGACGATGATGCTCTTGTTTTTTTTTTTGAAGGGACGATGATGCATATTGACATGTTGTATAAAAGAAGTTTGTTGTATTGTGGTCAGAATCAATATAATGCATGACTCATGTACTATGGATTACCTTTCAACTGTGTAGGTAATTAAGACCTACCATTTACTATTTATGACTTTGACTAGGAAACAATAAATCTACACAATCCATTTTAAATTAGAAAAACATTTATTTAAATGAGATTTTTTTTATTTATTTTTTTTGACATCGGACAAAAGACAGAAGAAAAAAAAAACTACAACATAGTACTATTAAAGCGAATAAAAAGGACAGCAGCTTCTCCTGCAATTTGGTGGGCCCGGTGAACACGATTCCTGTCAGCCTTGTAAATCTCGCAATGTTGGAAGGTGGAGCCCAAACACTGTATTTGTTGTACTAGCCAAAGAATCCCAATATCCCCCCGGCCATCGCCTCGTAGGAGGGTCACTAGATTATAAGAATCCGAAAAAAGTCGAGCCGAATGAATGTGACAGTCTGAAGCCCATTGGAGGGCATACAAAAAAGCCAAGGCTTCCGAATGAAGAGCGGAAGTACAAAGTCCAAAATTACTCCCACCAATAATCCTATCATCCAGCGGATTTGCATTATCAACACACCACCCTATTCCTGCATGCCGAGTGTCCTTGTACCAAGCTCCATCAATCTGAAGCTGAACGAAGAGGGTACCTGTACGAGAGATCCCTAAATGGGCCACATGAAACCCAGGCGGGGGCAAACCCTCCTGAATAGTAGAAGACGGGGAAATTGTCGTAGTAGTATCCGTATCCATAAAGACAATATGGGTTTGCAAAATGCTAAAAATGTACAACCCAACTGGCTGTATAACTGGCGTATCAGGATTGAAAACCCTGTTATTCCTGAATAACCACAGAGCCCATAAAGTACCAACGAAGGTACTAATATTGGAACTTGAAATTCCGTCCTGACTAATGAGAAGTCGGATATAATATTGGATCCAATCTGAAATAGAATGGTATCCATGAAGTTGTGAGTGGATGTTCAAACATCCACCCCTCCAAGCTGCTCTTGCAATTCTGCACTCCCGAAACAGATGGTTGAAGTCCTCAGTCTGAGCACCGCAAAGATCACATGACACATCTTGTATCGGAACCCCCTGACGATGAAGTTCAGACTTGATCGCTAAACCATTATGAAGTAACTTCCATAAGAATAGTTTCCATTTCGGCTGTAGAGGAAGGGACCAAAGAGTTTTCCAAAAGGGGTCGGCTGTTTGAGCTGGGAGCTGTTGTATTAGCACTGCATAACCCGTCTTGACCGAATACACGCCGGAGACAGTGGCCGCATCTAAAAACTAGTCAAAACTAAAAAGCATCTAAAAACGAATTGCAAAGCAGGTTTTAAATAAATAAAAAGACCCAAAAAAAAATCAGCTTATTGGTTTGGTTCGGATATTTGGTTCGGGTACCCGTATTTTCGGGTATCCGAATTTACGGGTACCCGAACCTTATCGGAACGGTTTTGGGAATCGGTTTTAGCCTTAACGGTTATCGGGTACCCGAACCAATAACGTTATCGGAACGGGTACCCGTCCCATGCTCTCCCCTAGAGACTAGGATATAAAGGTGTATTTTATTGTTTGGTATGGATTTGGATTAAATTTGAATAACTAATAAAAATACAAAATTACCCTTACTATCCCTTCTTCACTCTTTTCTTCTTTCTTTTTCATTAAGGGTAGAAATGTCTTTTACCCATTAAATTTAATCCCCATCCCTAATACTACCCCCGTTAGTTTTTACTCCGTAATTTGGAGGGATAACTCCATATTTTATCCCCTCCTAATCCTTATCCCTCTAAACAAACAAAAGACTTCTTTAATTCCTCCTCTTCTACCCTATCCTCCCTCTTCTATCCCTCTAACCAAACACTCTCTTACATAATTGAAGATTTTACTCAGCTCCGTCCAAGTACATAACAACTATAAATCAATTTACATATTTAGAGTTAACCTTAACGATTTTTAACTTGCAATTTTACATGTAATATACTAATACTATAGCAAATCACACCTTAAAATTCACTTATTGTAATCCAACAACCCTAATTTGAAAAGCAAACAAATCATATAAGATCCACCCCCCAAAAAAAAAAAAATCAAAGAAAAAGGTGAGTGATTTTAATTGGATATATCTATGATATCCCAAATACAAGACTCGTTTCAAAATCATGTCGTTACCAAATTATCACATTCATATTGGATTGGACCACATCTAATTTGGCCATTTGGGCCTAACTCAAACAACATAACAAGGTCAATTTCGTCCTTTTGTCATCATACAATGGCATTCTCGATATTTCTTGAAACAACAAGGTCATTTAATTACCCCATCTTGTATAAAATACCCCAACCTCTTCCGTGCTCACATTCTTTCTATTCCCCTTCTCCCAATCTTTTCTCCCTTCTCTCTCTTCTTTCTCTCTCCTCCTCCCTCACTCTCTCCCTCCTCCCTCACTCTCTCTTCTTTCTCTCTCCTCCTCCCTCACTCTCTCTCTCCCCCTATTTTCCGGCAACATTTTGTTTTTCTTTTTTAAAAAAAAAATATTTAGTTTTCTTTTTTAAAAAAAAAAAAAAATTAAAATTTATCCTTCTGTTTTTTAAAATCATTGTGAAATTACGGTTTTATCCAAAAAAAACGCCATTTCCCTGATGTAACAAATACACCCCCTATTTTCTTATTTAAAACCACTACCCTCCAAAAAAAATTAAAATAAAAAGGGAAAAATCTTTAGAGGTGAAATTACTCTTATACCCTTGAAATAACGGACGGCGAGGATGAATCACACGAGTCGTAGCGTGGTAACAGCCACACGAAAGCGCAAAGATAGAGGAGAATTAGATAATTCATCCTTTTACAATCACAAGGGTAGTTTCGGAAGTTCACACAAACCGCTTTTAGTGGGTAATAATAATAATAATATTAACCACAACAGTACGACGTCGTCTTCACCAAGAATGGCCGAACCGGGTTCGGGTCCGGGTTCATCGAACCGGCTTTTGGCGGGTTACATGGCCCATGAGTTTCTAACCAAAGGGACCTTATTCGGGCAGAAGTTTGACCCGGCCCGAGCCGAAGCTGTCCCTGTTTCAGCCGCTGAGCCCAAGAGAAAACCGGGTCAAACCGGGTTCGGGTCTGGAGTCAAGCCGAACCGAAGCTATGCTGACGTGGCGCAACTGTTGAAGAGTGATGGGACCCATATTCCTGGAATTGTCAACCCTACGCAACTCGCTCGGTGGATCCAGATGTGACCCGATTGATTGACCCGGACACGTGGAGGGTTTGCATTGGTCTGTCACGCTTTCTAATGACACAGGCAGGTGAGGGAAATTCAAATTAACCCCCTTCTCCATTTTGATAAACTTCAACAACACTAGTTCAGTCAGATCCCGGTCGCCGGAAGATGATGACGTCATTTTCCGGCACTTTTTTTTTTTACCTCTTTCTCCTCTGTTGTTGTTAATATTTATAAGAAACAGAGGCGTAGTTTTTTTTTATTGTTTAATTAAATTATAAGCTTGTTGTTGAATCAATGTTACATTCATCCATTATCTATCTATATAATGTACTAGTTAGTTTTTTTTTTTTTTTTTTGTTATTATTATTATTAATTTTATGTATTACATTTATGGTTTCTCTGTTTTATTTCAGTATTTACCGAATAATTTTGGGTATTTTAATTTATTGATTTGTTTATATAATTAATAAATGATTGGTTAATGCATGTGGAATTTGCATATTTTAATTGTAGAGATGATCGATGGTGAAACAATGCATGGTACATGCATGTGTTATATTATTATGTGGGTGACTACGTTTTTGATAGTGGGAGTAAATCAGCTTATTTTGGTTGTAATTCAATATCGAATGTCATGTACCTACTTGGGTCCGACCCGACTAGATTTAAATTACACTATCAACGTGATCACGATAATATTGGGGCTGTTTGCGATTTTGATTTCATTCACGTCTTCGATTTTACTTGTTATAATGTTGCATGTCAGGAATTAAAGCTAGTGTATAACTGTATAAGTTTGTAGAACGGTGATGATTAGGTTGGAAATTTGGAATATGGAAATGCAATTTGATGACTAACTATAAAAAGAATGGTAATTGGCTATATTTTAGTGATTAAATTGCTAAAGTATAAGTTCATGTTTTATTGGTGTATAATGTGATGATTAGTGATTAACCATGGTGGTTATCGATAGGACTTGGGAAGTTGGGTTTTTGCGATTTCAAGGCATTGTCAATGGTCTCATATATTAGATTTTTTAACGATGATGGTATGATTATGAAGTAAGACTAGAATCAATTGATTGGTATCTTACTATCTTAGCTTAATTTCTACTCTTTCTTAGATAATTTTTAGCTTGATGCATGTCTCAAGTTATGGTTTCTATTACTTTCTAAGGCAAATATAATTATGGAACCTTTGTTTTTATTTTTATTTATTTTTTATATACTTCCTAATTATATGGTTAGGATTTAGGATACTTTGATAGGAGAACAATATTGGATATTTCGATGAGAAGCGTTATATAATTAGAGCATAAATGAGTGGCATAATATTTGTAATTTCTTTGTGGCTCATATATAGGACCATTATAGTGTACCTAGGTTAACCATGCATCCAGATACAAGTGTGCACATCACAAAGAAGTCGTTGGTATGTACGTGATGACATTGTGCACAATACACCACAAGCAATTTAACGTTCATGCCTCATGAGTGCATCACACAAATGTTGCGAAAGTGTGTGAAGGTGTGATGTATCCTTATTCATAACGGTTTAGCTAGTTTGGTTTAGTCATACAAGCTAAAATATGCACGCCATGCGTGCACAATATACCACATACATACATGATATTTTATGAAAATTAAGAGTTGAAATTATTTTCGCATACATATTGTAGATATACTTGGAGATAATGCTGTAATAAAATTACAATATAAAATACATAAAAAAATATCCTTAGCATGAGTTGTTTTTGCTTCCATACACTTTTGATTGACTTTTATCACGCTTAGCTTGCTCCCTGATAAGAAGATAAAGAAGTCATTTCATAGATGTATATTACTTAAATAGTTATGTATGCATGTTTAATATTTACGATTATACCTGATAATTAGGGTTGTGGCATATGAGGCAGGAGGACTTCTTTGTAAACCACGTTTTTTGTAAATACACCACATCTACCTCGAACATCTCCTTTACTAACCAAAACTCTGGTTGTTTCTTGTGAGGTCCCTCTCGATAGTGCAACATATAACTGTCCATGGCTGAAAACATGTTGGGGGAGATATATACCAACATGAGGAATGGTTTGCCCTGCGATTTGTTTATGGTCAAAGCAAAACATAATTTCACAGGAAATTGTTTCCGGATCATTTCAAATGGCAACTTCACATCTTCTGCCGTTTTTACAGGAATACGTGGAATGAACACTCGTGTCCCTTTATGACTTCCGGTCAAAATTTCTGCCTCAATCACATGATCCCTTAACTGACTACATATTAACCTTGTCCCATTACACAACCCACTGCTTGTATCAATATTTCTCAAAAGCATGATTGGAGAGCCAACTTTTAGCTTAAGAATATGTGGTGGCAAACCACCAAAGGATAATGAATTCAAGAACTCCTGTTGATAGAGATTTTGACGATCTTCTGGAACAGTGTCACATGAGTAGTAGGTTTTTTCTTCTCCGACAAACTCTGTAAGTATCTTCTCATTAAGCATGTCAACTTCGTCGTTTGTTGGTGTTATTATAGCTCTTTGTACCATGTATGACACATCACCTACGTGCTCAGTGAGGTTTGGGAATATTTGATGGATAAGATTATCAACTGAAATATTATCACCATTTCCTGCTCATATTGAAGATGGTAACTTTATCATGTCTTCATCAACTGTAGGCTCACATCCATCTCCAACTCTTAAAAGAAAGGCTGCAAATTCAGGATCCTGTATCGATCTCATATTTTGAGTGAGATGGAGTAGCTGAACATGTCTCCATAGTGTTGACCTGACCAAACACGCATCTATAGTTTGAGCCTTTGTTCCTTTTGGTACAACGGGTAAAACTTGTCTAAAATCTCCACCAAACACTACGACTTTGCCGCCAAAGGGAACATCAACCCCTGTTAGATCTCTTAAACTACGATCAATTGCTTCATACGCATGTCGATGAGTCATTGTTGCTTCGTCCCATATAATGACAGCTGCATACTTGACCAATTGCACCTCTACATCTTGTTTACTAAACTTCCAAGTTGACGAAGCATGCAGCGTAACCGGAATACCAAGAGTTTTATGAGCGGTTTTTCCTCGATGCAATAGTGTGGCAGCAATATCTGAGTTGGCTACTGGTAATCCAAATTTCCCTCTAAGCTTGATTGTTGCAAGTATGGCTCGATACCTGTCCCACCTGGACCATCTATAAAGAAAATTCGACCATTCTCTGCATCAATAGCTTCCATTATGATATCAAATGAAGACCGTTGGTCGTCATTAAGATGCTCTGCACAATGCACGTCTTCAGGGGGCACTGGTGCTGATAATTCATCATGTATGGCTCTAGCTACTTGTGCATTTCCATCCAATCGCAAGTTTATTTTAGGTAAGTCGAAGTCATTGACACTCTTTCCTAATTGTTTTAACATGCGATCTATATCATAGAGAACTGAATCACGTACCAGCTCTGGATTTGTTGAAGTTGAATATAAGTAGTCTTCAGCCATGTAATGATAAAATTCATCCCATAAAGATTTAATTTTTAAAAATGTTATTCATGATTCTTAACATTAAATTTAAAACATGCTCAATTGAGATATTACTTTTCTTTCAACATTAAATTTGTAAGTTTTTAATGATTTTTTTACCTAATTAGGCGGATGTGAAGAAGATATCTTCATAAAAACCAGCTAACCATTGTGCAAACGTTACTCTTTAGAATAACCTAAACTCTTAACCTATATCGTACTTTTGGCATACCATCGTATGTTGCTTCCTCCACCATCCACCCTTATTTACCTTCTCAGGAGTCCAATTCAACGAACAAAGTGTTAAGATCATCAATCAAATTAACATATTAAGATCCATATTCATTGTTAACAACAAGGTTTGACGTGTATATAATTATATTATATGATTTTTATTTGATTTATATTATATGATTTTTATTTATACTATAAATAGTTATGTATGATATTATTAAATTCTTCTTATTGTATATTATAAAAATATCACTCGATTTTGTTTCATTATATATAATTATATACTTCGTATCTATTAAAGGTTGAAAATATCCGTTGTCAAGTGCAAAAAGAGAAGCTAGTATTTAATTAAAGTAGGGATATTTGTTGTTATTTTAGCAAACGAAATTTGGTGAGACTCATGCAAGGTTAGGTTGTGAGGTCCTTGTTTAAAATCAAATATGAAGACTAATTTTTTTTTTACTCCGTGTTACATGATACAGCCCATAGTATATAGTTTGGGATAATCTTACTCAAAAGTCTCAAATATAAAACAATATTTTTTTTTTACAAAGTTTCATATGTGGCTGGCCATACGGTGTGGCCAGCCACAATTTTTTTTATTTTTTAAAAATTCTTTCTCTCTCCTCTTTATTCTCTTTCTCTCTCCTCTTTTCTTCTTCTTCAAGCCAGAACATTCATCTCATTTTCTCAGAGAACGTAACACAAATTTCGCAATCGTCATCAATAGTCGTCTTCATAGTTCGTTCGTCGGTTATTCGTTCGTCGGAAGTAGTGGTTTCACTGGGAGGGTAGTGGTGGTTTGGTGACTCCGTCGTCGAAAAACAAGTTCAAAGTTTTTAAGGCCAAATTCGGCCATGAAAACTCTAGATCTGGAATTTTCATGGTCTTTGGCCTTTTTAGCCATATTTGAAGTGATATTCGAAACCATTGTTAACATTTTAAGGTATTTGTTTGATTTGATTTTTTTTTTAATGGTTTGGTTGGATCGGGGTTTGTTTGTGGGTTAGGGGCTAGTGGCAAGGCGTTTAGGTTGGTAGTGGTTCGTTGGTGGTGGTTGTTGGTGGTAGTTTTTTGTTGGTGGTGGGTAAGGGGTTACTAGATCCGGGGTTACTAGGTGGTCCGGTTAGGGGTTACTAGGTCGTCGGTCAGGGGTTACTTGGGGTTACTAGGTCGGGGGTTACTAGGTCGGTTAGGGGTTACTTCGGGTTACTAGGTCGGCGGCCAGGGGTTACTTGGGGTTACTAGGTCGGGGGTTACTAGGTCGGTTAGGGGTTACTTGAGGGTACTAGGTCGGTTAGGGGTTACTAGGGGTTACTAGGTCGGGGGTTACCATGTCGGTTCGGGGTTACTTGGGGTTACTAGGTCGGGGGTTACCAGGTCGGTTAGGGGTTACTAGGTCAGGGGTTACTAGGTCAGTCAGGGTTACTTGGTCAAGGGTTACTAAGTCAGTCAGGGGTTACTTTTGTCTTGGGGTTACTTTGTCTGGGGGTTACTTTGTCATTTGCTGATTTGACAACCTGCTGCATGGTGCGGCCAGGCGCACCAGAAACCCACTTTTTTTTTTTTTTTTTTTTACAACTAAATAATCCGTATAAAACATTTTCTAGAATTATTTATATATGTTTGGTTTTCCGGGTAAGGCGAAGAATCCTATTGAACCATCACAGTTCACAGATTAGTCACACCATTAAATAGATCAACTCTTAAAAGTAGGAGTAGAAAAGAACATAGAATAAGTGAGAAAATTCTACAGAGTATATCATCAAGAATTGTCAATCGTAGTACAAATATGGAAAAAGAATAAATAAAAAACTCTCATGCAAGTGACAAGTTGTTAATGACGTTTTTTGGGAGGATTTATGAATTAAGACGGATGAGAAGTTATTAAGAACACAAGAAGGAATATGTCATCATCCACCTTTGAGTCCTTTGCCAATTTAGGTGTATTGTTAGACTTATTTTCCTCCACTCTGTTAAACTAGGTTTTAGAATAAATGATTGATACATCTATATGCCTCGAGTTTCTAGTGATCAAAGCAAAATTAGCGTGATGTGAAAATGAATTGCATGATATTTGAAAAGAAAATAAAGGTTTGAGAATGAAAACTTAAAAGTTAAATCTTATTATTAAGGGCTTGTTTGATATTGTTTTTTGTTTTCAGTTTTCTGTATTTTTGAAAACAAAAAACCAAAAACAAAAAACAAGAAAAAGGTGTTTCCACTTTTTTGTTGTCAGTTTTCAAATATATCATATTTTAATAAGTTTGTCTAAATTTTGTTTTATTATATGACATATATCATATGAGTTTGAAATCTAAAAAATAAAAAACCACAGCGATGCCAAACGAACCCTAATAAATCTGTTTGGGCCAAGCCCATCATTAACCATTAGAGAGTGCAGATTTACCCCTAATCTGTCCAACTAAGTACAATTTTGCCACCTGAAAGTACATCTATAAATAGCTCTTCAATCGTTAATGAAAGGGATTTTTTTCCTAATTCTCTCTTTGCTCTCTCTCTCTCTATAAGTATACTATCTCTACTTTCTCTCTCTAGAAAGTTCATTTGGTGACTTAAGCGTCGGAGGGGCTTTCTTGAGTCACACTCCTGGGGTAGCTAACCTTCTCTGTTTGGCAGGCCTAGCTCTCGTACATACATGTGCAAGGCGGAGCTCTCAGACATACCTTGGCTAGGTGGAGCCGAAGGACGTTTGGACAATAATTGGACTTAGTTTCTAGGACATCTTAGTACCCTTACCCTAACACCCCGAGGAGTATTTTGTTTCCAAAAACAAAACCTACAAGATACGAAGTATATTATAACCTAAAACTTTAAACTAAATGTTATGCAGCTTGAGCAATACCTCAACGCATTAAACTAGTCTCACCGAAATAACTATAGGCGTATAGCACCTATATGTTTGCTACATATAGGATGACTTTCTTGAAATTACGTGCATAATAGTACACAAAAGTACTATTAAGACAACTTATACTTAAAGTTACATTATACATGCATAATAGCACACATGGATGTACCACTGTAGCATAATAATATACATAAATATACCACTGTAGAAAAACATCAAATGAAAAAGAAATGAAGACCCCAAAACGCCCTCCTATATACATGCTTATAAATAGGTACTATGCACTTATATACACTCGTCTCACGGTGCTAAGAATGTTTTATTTATTTTTTCAATGTGCCCCACTTGAAAGCTACAAACGCTACCATATTTATTTTTTCTTACACAAATTCCACTTCCTACTCGTACAATAGTTTCCTTGTACATGCAAACATGCCCCAATTGTTACACTCTTTCCTTGCTTCTTTAATTTTTGTTTTACTTCACCTAATTGTTAAGACACTTATTGCAATTGAAATCTAAAGATGTGCATTTTTAGCTACAGAATTCAGATCTCACTCATCTCAGCTTTCTCAGGAATACATTTTTACTAGCAGAAAAAAAAAAAAAAAAAAAAAAAAAATCTGAGCCAAAAATAGAATTCAATCAAGACTGAAAAATTACTAAACTTAGAATAATTTGTTTTATGTATGGTAGTTACAAATTACTCAATACAAATACTGTAATTTTTTGGCTCCCCATCAACTCCTGTCCCCACATGGTCTTACAAAGCTCACATCAAGTTTATCCCACATGAATAGGGTAGTTATTTGGAGACAGGCTAACAAAATAGAATTACAAATCATTGCCAATAATACAAGTATAATTAAATGCATGATTCCTGTACTTATTAGCTTCAATAATTCCTGAACTTCTAAACCCCGGAGCTACTACCGTCGATTGGTTTCTAACTTGAGAAACTGATGAGATGACTGTAAGGAAAGGACGAAAGGTAATGAGACTGATCCGTGTGTACTGTCTAGGCCTTCTTGATGGCGGTAGATCTTGCTTTGAGGTTAAGGAAGATTGCCCTGCAGGTAAGCAAATAGTAAAACTATGTGGAATTGTGGATATATAGTCCATTTTAGAAGCGCGGAACCTTTTTATCTGATGGGTGAAATCGAGCTTTAAACATGGGTATGAGCACGCAAAATATAGGAGAAACACAGTGTGATGCATAGTATGCATGAAAATAAATTTTCCAATGGGATTCATAAATCATGTGTGAGAATTTTAAGGCATGTTCAGTAAGACAGTAATACTGATTATTTCAGATTTTGATTTTGGGACTTCAAAATTTGATTACAGAAACCTCTTTGTATAGGTTGCATGATGAACTTAAATTTAGTCCTGCATAAACTAGTCATATTAATTTACTAATTGACAATAGAAAATTGGAAACAATTATTTCAAGTAGACTTTTTTTAATCTAAATCTAAAAAAAACCTTTCAACTTGTAATGATAAAAAATACAGTGCTAATTTCAGGCATCCTCAAACATGTACTGATGTACCCTAAACTTCTTTTATGTATTTATGTTGTAAAGAATAGTGTGCTTACTGCTAAGATATCTTACTCTGCTAGCTAAATCAATCAGAACAAGATCGATACAGACCATATGTCTATGTATCAATCATCCAACTTTTGGGACTCAATTATCTTGAAAGGTTCTCTTATGCAGAACTCTAACAAAAAGGTAAGAAGCTTGTAACAAGGAGAAAATCAAGAAAAGAAAGTCCATAAGATCAAAGAGTAACTAACCAGCAAGAGGCAACAAGGCTGTGAAACAGAACACGAAGTTGCAGAGGCATATATTGATAGTTCACCCAGTTTATAATTGGCCAAAACTGCAAAGGACACAGAATTTATCAGAGCATCACAAATGCAAATCCATATCATCAGCATTTAAGAAGATACCCTAAAAAACTACTATATGATGATAATTTTCGCAAGGATAACTCGTGAAAAGAGCATCAAATACCTTCCAAGAAGTTCGCTGTACAGGAGGGTAGTCATTCTTGATCTTAGTCTTGACCAGTGGCCACGTTCTTCCTGTTAGAAGTAAGTTTTTAGTGAACTCAAATCAGAATTGACATAATGCAACAAAGTTACACACTTTTTCTCAAGTTTATTTGGGTACAGGCTGCATATTCTTTCCTCAAGTTTGTTTGAAAAGGAAGGCACATAGTCATACACAATCCCTGCTGCTCCAGAAAAGCAGTATAATTTTTCTAGCTAAAAATGGAACTGTAATTCAATGAATTGCATGCTGCCATATTCAGGTTTTACTTTCTCTTTTAATTTCTTTTCCTACAGGCACTTTATTGAACATTCTTCCACGAGTGCATACTCTACATAAGAAGAGAGATTTACAAAACACAATTGATTGTTATAGAAGACCTAGCCTCTCTACATGCAGTAGGGAAACTATAGTTGGTAGGATTTCTGCTATTCAAAGACAGAAAAAAATTGCTAATCCTACAACAAAGATGTCTGTAAGATTAAGTGTATAGTCAAATACTCAAATGTAGTTCTTGCTATATATCTTATTTTGCGTAAGAGAATATTGCTATGCATATTCTTAGGAAACAGTTTACAGATTATAGCTTGAAATTAGGCTATATGTTTATTCTGCATGACAGGCATATTAGGCACTTTCATTTTCAAGTCTCCAAATTGACCTTATATTAGATGATTTATAATTAGAAGCCTTTCTTGATCAACTCTTCAATAAGCATATTCTTGGTAATTAAACAAGATATCATAACCCAAAAGTGCAAATCGATTGCAACATACTGTACATAATGGATTAATGGGTTCAAATCATAAGATCCTCAATATGGATCCTTACATAAATAGAATACGGCATCCATATTCCTAGAGCGTCCAAAGCTTGATAAACTAGACTAGGGACCAAATGTATTAGTCGAATGTCATTAATTTCAAGCAACACCAAGAAATTTTCAAGCAAACCAAGACTCCTTAACTCATAAAAACAGTAAGAATCCTCACTCAATAACATTACAGGTAAGTCAATAAGATCTGGCACCATGGTACAGCATAGTGATAATTCTGATAAACCATTATAATAAGCCAGATGAATCCAAGAGGATAGCAATGCTTAATCAGAGAAGAAAATGACAAACCTTCAACCACAAGACCATAATACATCATGAAAAACAAGTTATTCCATGGACTAGCTGTTAATTGTTCCAGTATCACCTTACAAAAAGAAGAAAAGACAAAGCATGTAAAAAGAAAAAGTCAACCCTCAAAACATCAAAATCAAAACCAAGAACAGAATTACAAATGGGTTTTTATACCTTCTTTCCCACAGTTGTGCTTCCTTTCTCTCCTTTAAAAATCTTGTCCATAACTTTGTGCAAAAAATGCCCAAATGGTCCAGAATAGAAGAACCCATATATCTATACTCAGCAAATTCAAAATCAGTAAATTTAATGGTAACAAAAACATGATCTTTGATAACAAAGACAATCAATCAAAAAAATCAAAATGATTACTTACCATAATAAGGAATAATCTCTTAAATTGAAGCTTTTTAATCCCAGAAATTTTCTGGGCAGCAAAATCACTGCACCCAGCAAGAACCCCAGAAGTAATTGCCTAAAATCATCATAAAAAAACAGAAAAACTAAATCAGAATAAAACCCATATTAAAATTACAACAAAAATTGCCAATTTGAATAACCTTAGTTCTAAGGGGGTGGATTTGAAGCTGCAAAAGATACTTCTTCCAAACTTCAGTAACAATATCAGACATGGCTGATCAAATTTGTGCTTCTCAAAGATGCGTACTTTGTGTTTGTAGAAATGCCGCAGAGAATGAAAAGCATGAGAAGAGTGAACAGAGATGGGTTGACCGAATGAAAATGAGAGAGAAGTTTAATGGTAGATTATTCAATGCAACGGTGTTAGGTGGAATCATGACTGAGAGCAGTGATGAGAAGCTCAATTTTTTATGTTTTTGTATTGACCTATTATTATTCAGCAATAACCTGTGTTTTTCCCTCCATAAACTGCACTCTAAGCAACTCCTGCCAAAAATACAATTACTCCCTCAATCCCTTATTATCTCGACTTTGTATTTTAAAATCGCAATATATCCCTACTTGGTATTATTATATGTACCCTAGATTGAAATGAGTAAAACAAAGCTACTTAAATTCTTTCGACAACAATATAGGCATTCTTTTGACAACAAATAGACATTCTTGACTACACATACACGGTTAATTGGTTAAGTCCTAAGCGGGAACATGCATTATACATACATATGACTGATATGAGTGAGGCTCACACGTATGTGTTTAATTACGCTCTTATATTATAGCTTACAAAATAACTACATAAGCACCCTACTCAATGCTAAGCATATTGTATACTTGTACTCCATAACTTTTAGAAAATGCGAAAACCTATCTCAAAGGAGACAACCCTACTTCAAACCTATTAATATTTTCTAGTTCACTATTTTACGATTAAATAAAATTGTACTATTAATTGTTGCTAGTTTAGCAGTTACCATTTACAGTTTCCCCCAATTTTGAGAGGAATATACAATACGGAGTACAGGGGAATGAAAAATTGAGAGAGAAAGAAAGAAAAGGAGGGAAATATGGTGAGAATTTAGTTATTGGCCCCCACATAACATCATACTTCAGTTCAAAGGAAATAGTTGTAGATGATATTGTTAAACTAAGGTCATGTTCACTTCACTTTTAAAAAAAAATATTAAGTAAAAATAATTTCAGTTTAGTAAAAATAAGTTTAGTTCATCTATATCTATACTTAGTATTTAAAAACTATAACCAAAAAATTAAGAAAGACACATGTCCCCATCCATTCTATTACACTTCTCTAACCATAGTGTCACATGTCATCTTACACTATTAATTTTTTATTACACCATTTTTTTAAAATTCTTTCATTAAACTTATACTTCATCTTTCATACACACTTCATCTCTCACCTTTAATTCAACATTTTTTAATTCTCTCTTTAATTTTAGCCCTTCCACCTTCTATTTAAGCCTCTTTTTCGATTAAAGTTCAAAATTTTTAATCATGTTTTCGATTACATATTATACCCTATAATGACTTACTGATATTTCCCCACTTATCTCTCAATACAATTTTTCCGATTACATATTATACCCTATAATGACTTACTGATATTTCCTCACTTATCTCTCAATACAATTTTATATGAATAACCCGTGCATTGTACGGGCCAGAAGACTAGTTAAAATGAATTTAAGTTCAGTAAAAATAATTTCATTTCAATAAAAATAAGTTCAGTTTAGTAAAATTCAGTTTTCTTAAAAAAAAGAATTATAATACAAAATCAGTAAAAATAATTTGAGTTTAGTAAAATTCAGTTTTGTTAAAAGAGAGTTATAATACAAAATCAGTAAAAATAATTCACTTCAGCAAAAATAATTTTGTTTCTGTAAAAATAATTTCAATTGAGCAAATATAAGATTAAGTGAACGGGCCTAATTGTAAAAAAATCATGAAAAAGATAAAACCTATTTTCTCCAAAATGGAAAGACAGCAACAACAACAAGCTCTGCTCATGCTCAGAAACAGGTCAGTTCTTTTGTTCCTTTTTCAAAATTACAAATTTCATTCTGCATAATTACATTATCATATATTGCGATGATTTTAATATTATTTATCTAAGAATTGTAGTTTATTGCAGTGATTTCCGAATATTGATATCATATGTTATAATTTGTTTAATTTTAGGTTTGATTTCAAATGACGGGGAATTTGTATTTCCCCCTTCTATTTCTGATAACCCTAATTTCAATTGGGAAGATAGCTACTTGATGATTGGGCATGAGTTAATATCAGAATTAAATATGATAGCTTTGGTATTTGTTTGCATCGATTATTTATGTTGTTGAGTTTAATATTTGAGTTGGTTGGTCTTTCTTTACAATTATTGGATTTAGGCCCCGTTTGGTTTAACGTAAAACATTTTCAATGGAAAATTAGTTTTCATGGAAAACATATTTTCAAGGAAAAACACAATTACAAATTAGTTTTTCATTGTTTGGTTGCATACAAGAAAAGTCCAAGAAAAAATAAAAAATAAGAGTGGAAATGTACGGATGAATGAGAGGGAAGTAAAAAAAGAGGTAAGGAGGAGAGAGGAAAATGTGGCTTCCCTTGTTTTTTGAAGGAAAATGTTTTCCATCATTAAAGATGAAATTTTCCACCCTTGAAAAATTGTTTTCCACTTCTTAACAAACCAAACAAAGAAAAATGGGAAAAAATGGAAAATTCATTTTCCATGAAAACCTTTTACATCAAATCAAACACGGCCTTAATATTTTAATTTATTCCTGCTTTTGAGTCAATTGTATTATTAATTCTATTATATGAATTCATAGTTTGGAGTTGTTTTCTGCATTTTTGTTGTTAATTTAACAAGCTAGTTACTGTAAGACAAGTTTGTCGGTTAGAATTAGGATGTTGATTTTAGTGTTATTCAATCCATAATTTAGATAAAGGAAGGGTGTGTTGAGCCGAGTTTCTGGTAATTGATGTAACATAAGATTCCCTAAGTACTGTGATTGTTACCTTCAAGATGCTTTGTCGTTTTAATCTCATTGTGTCTTTTGCTTTTCTTTTTACACTCGTGGAGTCGTGGGATTGAATTTAAGGATTCGCGCTATAGTGGCTAACTGGCTATTACTCTATTATTCATAGATTGGGAGGATTTTTTTGGTTAATTTTAATCCTTTCTTTGTTGCGAATATGTATCATGGCGGGTTTATTCTTGTGCATTTGTTACTTTGCTAGCTTAAAGTATGTAGGTTGAATTGGAATTTGTGTAGCATGATTGTCTAGGTTGGAATAGTCTATATTCTTTAAATGACTACTTTTTTGTTTTTAGGATAAAGGCACCATGGTAAGATAGGAAACTTTGATAAGAAATCAAGCAAATTTGACTGGAAAACTAAGGCCATGTTTAGTTTCACCTTATTTTTACTTATTCACATCAGATGAGAAAAAATATTAAATCAAATGAGAAAAAATAATTTCTAACATACTCTATTGTTTTATGTGCGGCTTTTATCGCTTAATATTAATAATTAAGAATTACATAGTTGAAATACACATTATTACGAATTTGACAGGACCTCACTTGATATTTGTTCCTTATAGGTTAGGGTACATATAAGTTCAAAGTTAAGTCAAATAAGACAATATGATCAAGTCACATCAGATCAAATTAGAAATAATAAGCCCAAATCAAATCAAACAAGCAAAAATAAGGCGAGTTTAACATGCCCTAAGTTTACATAGTTAATTTAGGCCTTGTTCAATCTGCTTGATTTTTACTAAATTTAAAGTTTGAAATTATATTTATTGATTAAACTTCTAACTGACCTTTACTTATTAAAAATTGATTATTAGGGCCTAAGTCACACACAAGCTACAGAGTAGATGAGGAGAAGGGTAGATAAGTGTTAGCATGAGAAGAGAAATGGAAAAAGTAGGGATCTCTTTGTCATATACGTAGTAATAGTGTGCAGAGTTGAAGTTTCAGGTGAGTCTAGGCAGCAAGAAAAAGGTTGTCGCCGATTGATTCTTAATCCAATATGCAACGCCTACCTTCTATATTACATTGTAATATACAAGTAGATAAATTAAACAATTTGCAATTAGTTTATTATCATACAAAAAGTCTAAGAACAATTGTTTTAAAATTCTCTCATAAATGGAATTGTTGTGTATTTGTGTGGTAAAGTCTCAATCACATATCAGAAGATCTCTTGGGCCAGAAAATCCTTATTCTTTTATTGTATGATGAAATTATCTAGTTAGTGTAGAAAATTTTAAGATTTTATGCATACAGTAGGTGGTTGAAGTACAAGCTGATTTTGGAGGTGTTTAGAAATATTTAAGATGTTACAGGCTGATGTTTTGATTGAGTTTTTCTCTGGAAGGCAGCACCTCTAGTTTTTCATATAGAAACATATGTATTTTAGATGTTGGTTTATTAAGTACTCAATATTCTTGAGTTATGAATTAAGGTAGGATACTGAGGGCTGAATCTTTTAACCTTAGGCAGCAAAGCTGACCAGATATACGGTGCTTGATTAACATTGAAGGTTGGTTATTTTTCCTTGTAGAATAGTTTGCAAAGGTGTTTTAGTTTATGAACCTTGCTTGTCTGAAGGCTTGATCTAGGTGCTGGAAAGTAGCTCGAGAGCTATACTTTCTTAGTAATTTAGTGGTTTTATCGGATGTATTTATGAGTTTTGCTGTTTAACACCTTTCGTTGGCAATCATTATTTCTTGAAAGAAACTGGATCATGTTTGTGGTCACTGGCTAGAAGCAAAGCATTTTATGCATCCATGTTGAACTTATAAGGTTATCGCTGAACCCCAGCTGTGATTTGTGGGAAGAGTGGAAGACTTGTAGTTTATTGATCCATGATTGGTTTATATGTAAGACAGTTGTAGTGGACTTGTAACTTTCCGTAAATTGTTTAAGTTTGGCCTAATCCATGATACTTTTTGGGTGCCGGTGGACCTTCAGACTACAGGCCCAACAAGTTGACAAGTTATGGCTACTTGGATGCCCAAATTTAGCTGAAAAATTCTAAATAGTAGGTGTTGGACCTAAAAGTCTCATTTACGTTGGGCCTATGCTGATTTTCTTTCACTGGATGCACTTTAATCATCAAATATTTTTTGAATAAACCCAATCCTTCTGAGTATTATACCAGTCTAAAGTAAAAATTTAACTCTGACATTCTTGATGTATCCAGTTTGAGTTTGTCCATGAGCTGCTAGAATGATTGTGGTTCTAAATTTTGTGTATAGATGTGAAGTGTAGTCACATATAGAAATAAGCTCTTACTACTTGCTCTTATATGTGCTTTTCATTGACCTATCAAATGATTACTTTCAGTGACAAATTTCTAGACTAAGCCATCGTGTCGTAACTCTTATGCCAAATTGGTTTATTATGTCTGATGTAACATTTATGGTGTTGGGAAGAGTAAGTTATTTATAAATGTCTAAAATAGCCAACTGCATCCTTTTCTTAATTAAGGGGGCCTAAATCATGGAACTACCTAAGTATTCAACTTCTTTGTTTTATTGTAGACAGTACATGTTACTGCAGTCACTCTTTTGGTTTAATCTTGATTGGCCAGTCGGCCAGTGTCTTGATTGACCCACACAGAAAAGGATCTACAGTAACCAACTTCATTACCACTAATTTCTTTGTTTCCCTGTTACGTGGTTGCTGTGCTGGTAGTGTCTTTGTCAATGTTATCTTAATTTAGTTGCATGATAACAGTTTTCCCATTAGTATTGTAAAACTACATCTTCTAGCTCTCTGCTGTTGCCTGTAGCGGCAATTATTTCCCTCCTCATCACTTTTTGTCTTGCAACTCTTTTTAAAAGGTAATATGGCTCTCTGTGTAGGTGGTACATCTTGAACCACTTAACATTCTTTCAGCTCCCAACCATCTAATTTTCTATGTTTATTTAGTTAGGCTTTGCCAACTTCAACCAATCTATTGTTAAATTACCTAGCAAAAATGGAACTTAAAATACAGAAAAGGTTAAGTAGAAGAGAAGTGCACAAGCACTTGCTTTCCAAACAAAACTCGTGGAAAGGGTCTCATAATTGCTTGATAAATTATTGTTTTTCAAATAGGCCAATTGTTTCTCAAGTAGCAGTTAGGTTGCTTCATTTGTGATGGTGATGCTAATGATAGAACTTTGAGTCCTTATCTCCTTTTATCAATTGTGTAAATTAATATGGTCCTTGGAATTCATGGGTGCACTGAAAGTAACATACTTCACTGTACCCTTGAAGTTCCAGTGGACTATCCCACTTGGAAATTTGAAGCATAGAGCAGAAATTCGAAACCTACATAAAAACATAGAAGAATATGCCAACACCTGGCTGCGGCTTAGTTACCTATAAAGGGTGGCAAGAGATCATTCAAGGTGCTATAACAATTAACTGAATTGTTGTTCCTGAGTTTAGGAATACTTTACAAACTATTCCTTCAAACTTTTGTCTTGTTGCAAATGAAACTATGCTCAGTGACTTACTGTTTACTATTAATTGAATTAAAGTAATAGTTGACTTATCTTGATAACAATTTATATCATAATCAAAGCTACTGGTTGATTTAGAAATATTCTTTATTATGGTATCCTTGCTTCATACTAAGGTGAAATTGACATTGTCATGGTGGGAGGTCAAATAAAGATAGTTTGACATATTGGCCCAAGACCTGGTAATCTTTGTCATATGATGGGAAAAAAAAAAAATTAAAATTGTTTTCTTATTCCCACTATTTGTTCACAACCTAATCCCAACTGTTGCTTAATCTAAGCAAAAAGAGTATGTTATCTCTTGTTTTAACACTTTTTGAACCCTAAAACCAACTAGCTAAATCAGCTTGAATGGGAGAGTTCTGGTGCTCTATTTGACCACAGTAACTTATTAGTTCTAGTTTGCAAGAATTTTGTTTTTGGCAAGATTCGGAAGGACACTATACAGCCAGGAGTATGGGGCATGTCACAGAACCTGAAAATGACAATATACGGAAGTAAGAAATTCAAACATGTGTCTGAGATGGGTCAATGATTGCTTGTGGAGTGTAGGACATGCCTTTTTCTTTAAGTTTTTGTGCTACTTGAATTATGACAGAGGAACTAGTGGCAAAAGCTTTCAAATTATTCCAGAAGGTGAAGAGTTTCTGATACATCCTCAAGCACAAAAGTATCTAAGAGTGAGTGTATAAACTGCAGTTGCTCTCTAAGACCTGTTAGTCCATAATTTGAGACTAATGTTATGAAACGCGGTCTTTATAATATTTAGGCTCTGAAAATATTGAGCTTTTCAAATTGATGTGGCCAGAAATATTTGCACAAGGATAATTATTACATTTACTCCATTGGCTGGACAGATTGCACCTGTGATTCAGTATTGTTATCATTGTTTTGATTCAGGTGGTCAACTTCATTGGTTTTAGCTGTGTAAACTGTAAAATATCTTTTGCTTGATAGTTGTGTTGTGTGGACCTTTTGAATAGATATTTGTAATTTTAATGTTGTGACTGACAGAAGTTTTGGTTATCTGTTTCTGCAGGCGATACTCTGATAGCCTGATACATCAGGTAAAAAAGTCATTTGGATCTCAGGGTATAATACCCCTTTTCATGCTTCAGTATTGTGGTTTTTTGCTATGAATCCTCTTTAACCTTTTATGGTAAGTATCAATTCATTTACTTCTTTTCCATTCTTGTTAGCTCAGATATGTATCTGTTGTCTGAAAAAAGTTTAGTGTGCCTAATTAGTGATTTTCCTTGGAATTCATGTGTGCACTTGGTAGAATCTTAAAATTTTCTGTAGTTGGTCTCTTATTAATGTTATTATTGGATTATTGATGCATACTGTGAGAGTGTGAGTGTAGTGGACAAGGTAATGGTGGGGTCATGATATGAAAAAAAGAATTTAACTTTACACTAATGGCATTTCATTTTATAGGATATGACCTGACCCTTCAAGGTTGAAGCCATTATTACCGTTAATACTGTGCTGATGTGTGCTACAGCTATTGGCATTGTTACTTAAGACGATTTGCTAATGAACTCTCTTTACGTTTTAGGAACATGAACATCTCCTACCTGTTCTATTCTAGATGTATTCTGTAAAAAATTTCATGAAATGTCGTGTATCGCACTGATGGCTAACGGTGTGCTTGTTTGGCACTTGTGCTTTATCTGTTGATTTTAAAGCTCTTGGTCATGCTTTATCGGCGGCCTTGTGAAAGCCTGCCTAATAACTAATTACAAGTATTTAATTATTTAGAATCAGTTAATTAAATAACTAATGTCATATCGGATTTCGTTTATCCAAATAAAGATGTCGAATGAAATTAGTTGAGTACTTAGATGGAACTACCACCAGATTTATTTGCTGAATAGATATACAAATTCTGAATATAATACTAATACCATAGTACTCATTTGATAATGCATTTTATCCACCTCAATGTCCATATTCTAAAATATTGGGCCCGTCAATATCAGTTAATTTATTTGTAATCTCTCTTTTATTTTCTGCATTTTCTATTTGATTACTCTTGACCTTGGTGAAGCATGCTAAAATGCTCACAGGAACTTTTGATGTGTCTGCGCAATGAACTTGTCTACGCGTAATTTCTTAATGACTTAATTAGATTCGTAACCTGAGATCCTTGGGGGTAAAATATACTTGATCACTTGCAGGAAAATGTGAGTTTTTCCTAATATAGGCACTAGTTGCAACTGTTTCTATATATAATTTCTTGATGACATAGATCAGAAAACTTTCTTAACAGAAATTGTGTTTGTTTCCTGAACTATGCAGTATATGCAACTGTATCAGACCCACTACCTGGTGAAAATTTGGAGCAGCCAATCCTGTGGGGTCTTCATGGTCTCGCATTGCAGCTATCGCCTTTTTGGTGAGTCATATTGCAATATAATTAAATGGATTATGGACCACTTAGTGTCTAATTATCTTTCTTAAACTATCTTTGTGGTTTGGATTATGCTAATGGATCGTGGATTAAGATAAAGATACGGCATTCCAGTCATATGAAGAATTACATTATTACCCATTTGCTTCTGTTTCCCCCCCTGGTTTTAACTGGAAAGTTGTTGGAAACACCCCTGTTGCAGAATTGGAATTTTCTGATAGAAAAATAACTGTTGTTTTCAATGGAAAGATGACATAGATAGTAAAAGTGATAGTCAAACAACAATGGAGGATTTATTTTATTTTATTCTATTTTATTTATTTATTTATTTTTAATTAATTTCAGGGGCTGGATTGAATGTATACAACTACAACAAAGCCTTAGTCTCAAAAGATTGGGTTCGGCTACATAAATTGTCATAAGAAACCGCCCGAGAAGAAAAAAAGAGCATATAACAAAATAATTGGCTGAATTGAATGTATATACTTTTATAAGTTTATTTAATTCATGTACAAGTGTAGTGTAATTTTGTACTGAGAGCTGACATTTGGTTAGCTCTTTGTTTCAAGAAGGGTCATATGATCCCTATCAAGTTTTTTGTGGTTAAATCCACTTAAGTCAAAAAGGGCCCATTGAATTGCTTGCAGATTTAGTCTTTAATTACTAGTATTTGTATTATCTACCAGCTTCATGGGGCTGCTTCAACAATTTAATTTGCCATTAATTTCATGTAGTTGTATTAACTTTTGCTCGTTTTATTGTAAATTACACGATCCCTTATCTAATAGACCACATTTGTATTTTTGTAATTTTTTAGAGTCGTGGTTGACAAATTCAAAAAAAATATATAGAATTTTGTCTTGTTGACAAAAGTACATGCTGTAAATGAGAACATAAAAGTAAACTGTATAATCTACTTGCTAATTTGCTATGAATTTCATTACTTGTCTTCTTCATTTCCGGATAGCAATTGCCACCACATTTTCAATGAGATCCGAATTGGGACATTGTAAGTGAAAAATGGAGCAATGTAAAGTTTTATCATGAGAACGTCGGACCAATGCATTTATCACGCCCCAACTTCATATAGCATATGTATCGTGAACAATCCAACAACACAAATTCTTATATGTGGCTGACCACTGTTGCCAACCATTAATTAGGTTACTCCGTTAGAGTAAAAGGAGTTACTTGGTCAGTTTTAAAGAGGTTACTTTGTCAGTGTTATAGGGTTACTCGATCAGTGTTTCATAGGGGTTACTCGTTCAGTGTTATAAGGGTTAAATAATTTGGCAAGATGGTTCATACACTCCTCGACCCTTGAAGAGCAACTTAAATGTGTATATTTCGAGTCATCTATTTCTAATGTACAAGTGTATTAGGTTTTTTTTTTGAGAACTACTACTGTATTAGTTGGTGTAGCACATACATACTATAATTAATTAATTAGTGAAGAATGCATCATACAGCCAAACTATCTTTAGAATAATAGAGAATAAACGATTGGTATCAAATAGTTCTTGGTCCCCTGCCCAAAATCTCATATAATGGAAACCTTATACTACATACACGTTACGCAAATTATGAAACTATACACTAATAAATCACTAGTTAAAATTTTATTAGTGGAGAATAATGTATTTAATGTTTCCTACGTCATGTTCACTAATCAAAAAAGGTGTTGGCTAATATTTGCTCTAAAACACTTGCTTAAACCAAACAATTTATTCCCCACCACATGCCTATCTACCTTTTTAATTGCACTTACATCATTAGATCAACAATGAAATAGAATTATCAAAATCATTTATATTTATTTCTTCCTTGTTTTTTTAAGTAGTTTATATTAGTAAATGGTCTCCCCTTTGTAAAAGATAATATATTAAAAAAAAATGTATTGTAAAATGATCGAACTTTGTATAATGTTTTTGGTGTGTAAAGACTAGAGAGAGCTTCAAAAGGTGAATGATGTAGACTTAATTTGATCATAAGTCTCATGCAAAACCCTAACTGTACGTATTATATAAACTTATAATTGTATGAAGTTGGTTAAGATGAGCTTACATAAGTTCATTTTAGCTTTTGAGTTCAGTTCAATTCAATGCACTTTAATTTTATTCAATTTGTTTTGTTTAATCACTATGTATCATTTAGGTATGTATTTCTTCTATACTCTAAATAATACCACAACCTTAATGATGATAATTGTAGCCCTTATTATAGCACTATTAAAGATTATACTAAACCATAATACTAGCTACTCTTCAATCTTTATATAAGATTCTTGCATGGAAGGTTTTGACCTAATTATTAATAATAATCAAGGTGTGGAAAATACTATATATTACAACTTAGGGTTTATAGTTTGATTGTTGTATGTATCACCTCTTAGATCATCCCTTTTCATTTTATAATATAAATAAGTAATTATTTTATAACCCATTTGCTTAGTGGTGAGCTTATAGTATTATCTATATATTGTGGTACAGTACAATTTACAGATCAAGCAAGTTAATAAGTAATTGTATATTATTAGAAACATTAATGTTCCTCAAAACTAATAAATTAGTATAAAAAAATTGATTTAATTTACAACTCATTTGCACATACTACTGACCTACTGTGTATTGTGGTGAGCAACTCTCATATACTTTTTATCAAAGATTCTGAAAATTCTTTGGTTGGCAAGGGTAAAGCTAGTGTATATTCTGTAAGCTAAGACTCTTGAAAGAATCTTTACACGTGAAAAATTCCCACGACAAATCTAAATACTCTCGTCCCTTTAATTTGACGATGTATTAAAATACCTTAATCGTATTAGCTGTATAATTTTTTTTAATGAATAGATAAATATATTAAGGAAATTTTGCGAATAACTATCATTTAAATAACCACTTCTGAGAACAACTACCATTTAAAATTTTCATTTAAAAAGAATACCACAAAAACACAAAAAGTTTGAGTAGCACTACCACATTTATTGTTTCCGACAAGAATCTCCGTTTTTGGGGCATATTTTATAAAATTTCCCTCAAAAAACCCAAATTAAATGATAATATTGCACTACATTAACCCTTAATTGGATTATAGACTTCAATTGCCCCAAATCCCCTAATTTCGTAAAGCTCTTAATTCAATTTTTTGACCATAAACCCTAATTCTAAGATTTAATTGAGAAATTAAATAAACTATAATGCAAAATTAAAGATAATTGACCTATAATTGTGTTTTACTATCGAAATATCTTGTTTTCTATACCACAATTGATTGAAATTTTATAAACTAGGCTTTCTCAACCGGAAATTCTTCCCGGAAAATAAAACGTGGTAGTGCTACTCAAAGTTTTTTGTGACTTTGTGATAGTTTTTTTAAAAGAAAATTTTAAATGGTAGTTGTTCTCAAAAGTGATCATTTAAAAGGTAGTTGTTGGTAAAATTTCCATATATTAATGACTAAAATTATATACCGTGCACTTAGAATTGATAAAATGACGAGATTATTATGAGCATACACTACATTAAGTAGTTGTTGGCAAAATTTTCATATATTAATGACTAAAATTATATACCGTGCACTTAGAATTGATAAAATGATGAGATTATTATGAGCATACACTACATTAATGATCTAATTTAACCGCGTCCCATAATAGTAATATTGTACATTGCCAAACCTCCTTAGGCATACCTCTATATCCTAATTGTGGGTATGTTTCATGTGCACGTACACCGCAAACACCCTAATCGTGCACAAAACTTATAGGTACATGCGTCATAAATCCACATATATAATATAATAATGTGTAATATGTATAGGATTATAGGGTTTACGTCAAACAATCATCTTGTTAACTCCTAAACGGAGTTTCCTTAGATACTAGTGTGCCATGAAGCTTATGAATTTTATTTTTTATTTTTAATCTTTTTATTCACAAAGAATTAGAGAATAATTTTAACTAGTATATGTATGCCAAAATTAACATACTATAATCAAGGGCCATAATTGGTGTCAAAAATAGATTTCTTTTAACAAATGATGAGTTTGAAGAATGCTTTAGATTAAAGACCTTATCTTTCTCCTTTTTTTTTTTCTTTTTTTGTTTGACGGACTTTTCCTCCCTTTTTATTGCATAATTTAGCTTTTTGGAAACAAGTCAAAATGAGTACTTTGGGAGGTTATAATCAATTTCACTCCAATGAAAGAAAGGTTTTTTTTTTTTTTGAAAAAAAAAAATAAAATTATTGGTGCAAGTCTCCAATTTGCATAAGGACAAAGAATATCCAAGCCATTAGTGTTGATGATTGTATAGTATTCCCCAGGTTGTATATTATTTCCCAAGATAGCATTTACCTAGAAACTATCGTATATATACTCTGCCAAGCAATGAGAATGGCAAGGGATTACTTTCTTACATGGTATCAGGCTAACATCGAATCCTCTGCCTTCCCTCTGTCTCTTCTTCTTCTCTTCTTCTTCTTCCTCCAATCAGCCGCCATGTCCTCTGACCCACCAAAAGCTCCGGCTTTCCATCCCGCTATCGCTGTCAACAATATCAAAAGTCTCATACCTATAACCTTGGAGATGAGCAAAACTCCATTATACTCTTCTTGAGCAGAGCTCTTCAAAGTCCACGTCCGTGCTTACGACCTTATTCACCACATAATCCCACCAGAGGAACCCAACACCACCGCTGATGCCGCAATCTGGGCTCGCCTAGATGCACTTGTCCTTCAATGGATATATGGCACTATCTCTCGTGACCTCCTCACCACCATTCTCGAACCAAACTCCACAGCACAGCAAGCATGGGATCGCTTGCGTGACATTTTCCAGGACAACAAGAGTACACGAGCTGTGCAATTGGAAGGTCAATTTTCAAGCCTTGAGATGAAAAACTTCTCTGACGTCTCTGCCTACTGTCAAAACGTCAAAATGGTGGCCGATCAACTAGAAAACGTTCATGCTCCGGTATCAAATGAACGCCTCGTCCTCACTCTTATTCGAGGCCTCCCAAAATCCTTTGATGGAGTTGCTGCAATTTTACAACAAACCGACCCTCTCCCCTCTTTTCACAAGGCACGTTCTATGCTCGTTCTTGAGGAATCCCGCCTCGCTCACCAAGCAGCCTCCGAATCAATCGCCGCCGGCACAGCCCTACTCACCGCCGGAAGCGAACCTGATACTTACCTTGATGAAGCACACTCTTCTCACGATGCTTCACGCACTCACCATCGCCAAAACAGAGGAAGCAACAACCGCGGCGGTCGCAACCGTGGTGGTGGTGGTCGCGGCAGGGGCCGCCACAACAACAACCACAGCCAGCACCGTGGAGGAACCAACGGTGGCAACCAGCAGCAGCAGGGCTACCGCAATCAACAGTGGCAACCTTGGGGTCCTTGGGCTCCAGGGCCTCAATATCCAAACCCCTGGGCCCAACAGCAGCCACAATGGCCCATTCCCCCTTGCCCATACCCCACCTCATGGCCACGCTCCTCTGGGCCTCGTCAGCAAGGGATTCTCGGCCCACGACCTCAACAACAAGCATTCTCATCCCAAGCACCATCAACAGTCAATTATGCGCCTACCGATATCGATGCCGCATTGCATACTCTCTCCCTCACACCACCGGATGATGGATGGTACATGAACACCGGGGCCACTTCCCACATGACATCTCACCAAGGTACTCTCTCGTCTTATTTTAATTTGAGCACTCAACGCAATATTATTGTTGGTAATGGGCATGGTATTCCTTTTCCCTTAATGATGTTCTTCATGCCCCCAAATTAATCAAAAATCTGATTTCGGTTAGAAAATTCACTAGTGACAATTGGGTTTCTATTGAGTTTGACCCGTTTGGTTTTTCTGTGAAGGACCTTTCGACGGGGACAACTCTTATGCGATGTGATAGCTCCGGCGACCTCTATCCCCTCACCACCGCAATCTCTCAAGCTCCATCAACTTTTGCTGCCCTATCCTCCTCCCTTTGGCATGATAGACTAGGTCACCCCGGCATAAATATTTTGCATTCTCTAAAGGGCAATAATTTTGTGGATTGTAATAAGATTTCTACTGCTAGTATTTGTGCTTCTTGTCCTCTTGGAAAGCATGTCAAACTCCCCTTTTCCCCTTCCCTTTCAAGTACTTGTATGCCATTTGACATTATCCATAGTGACCTTTGGACAACACCTAAAATGAGCTCGGCCGGACATCTTTATTATGTATTATTTTTGGATGATTTTAGTAATTTTTTGTGGACTTTCCCCATATGCAAAAAATCTCAAGTTCACTCCTATTTTCTCCAATTTCATACTTATGCTAAAACTCAATTTGAAAGAGGTGTTAAATGTTTTCAATGTGACAATGGTAAAGAATATGATAATGGCCCATTTCGACTCTTTTGTGAACAAAATGGCATGGTCTTTCACTTCTCTTGTCCTCACACTTCTTCTCAAAATGGTAAGGCGGAAAGAAAAATTCGCACCATCAATAACATGGTTCGTACCCTTCTAGCTCACTCCTCCATGCCTCCCTCCTTTTGGCACCATGCTCTACAAATGGCCACATATTTACACAACATCCTACCATCAAAAACCATTGGTCTCAACTCTCCCACACAAATTCTCTACCAAAAAGATCCATCATACTCACACCTTCGTGTCTTCGGTTGTCTTTGTTACCCTCTTTTCCCCTCTACATCCATCAATAAACTACAACCCTGTTCCACTCCATGTGTCTTTTTAGGGTACCCCGCCAATCATAGAGGATACAAATGCTATGACATGTCCACCAACAAAATCTTCGTCTCCCGTCATGTCCTATTTGATGAGTCTCAATTCCCTTTCTCAAAAGTCCATACTCCAACTGCCACCACCTATGAATTCTTGGACCATGGCATTTCTCCAACATTACTGCAACAATTATGCTCCCAGCCTTCCTCTACGGGCCAGCCCACTCCCACGGCCCAAACCGTGACCCCTCCCACACAAACCCACTATCCCACTACTCCTCCCTCTCCCACACGCCTCCCTTATCCTTCTCCAAATGAAGCCCAGCCCACTTCTCCCATCATTGCCGCCACAATTCCAAACCCACGGCCCACTTACACAAATCAGCCCACACCACAAATAAATCCACCAACTTCTCCTCAAATGGCTACAAGGAGCTCCCACAGGATATTTAAACCAAAGCGTTTATTTAATCTCCATACTTCTATCACACCCTCTCCTCTTCCCCGTAACCCCATTAAAGCACTTGATGACACTAATTGGAAAAATGCCATGCTTGAGGAATACACTGCTCTAATTAAAAATAAGACGTGGGAGTTGGTCCCCCGTCCTCTTGATGCAAATATTATTCCTTGTATGTGGCTTTATCGCCACAAGAAAGATGCTAACGGTGTTTTTGAGAGGCACAAAGCCCGACTTGTTGTTAATGGCAGGAACCAACAGGTTGGAGTTGACTGTGATGAAACTTTTAGTCCGGTGGTCAAACCGGCAACCATTCGCACCGTCCTTAGCATTTCCCTCTCCAAATCATGGTCCATTCATCAAATGGACGTCAAAAATGCATTCTTGAATGGTGATATTGAAGAGACCGTCTACATGCATCAACCACCCGGTTTTCGTGATAAAAATAAACCGGGTCATGTTTGCCTCCTCAACAAGGCCCTCTATGGTCTCAAGCAAGCTCCACGGGCATGGTACCACTGATTTGCTACTTTTGTGTCAATTCTTGGGTTCATTCATAGCAAATCCGACCACTCTCTATTTATCTATAGTCATGGAAAACAGGTTGCATACATCCTTCTCTATGTTGATGACATCATCCTCACAGCTTCCTCCGACACTCTCCGCAAGTCTATAATGGGTAAATTAAATTCGGAGTTTGCAATGAAGGACCTCGGCAATCTCAGCTCCTTTCTTGGTATTTCGGTCACTCACCATTGCACCGGCTTATTTTTATCTCAACAAGCTTATGCTAAAGACAGCATAGCTCGAGCCAATATGTCTTCCTGCAAACCCTCTTCCACCCCGGTCGACACCAAGGCTAAGCTAAGTGCAACTTCCGGTCCACCCACCGAGGACCCAACTCTTTATCGTAGTTTGGCAGGAGCTTTACAATACTTAACCTTCACCCGCCCCGATATTTCCTATGCAGTCCAACAAGTGTGCCTCTTCATGCATGACCCACGCAAGGAACATATGCAAGCCCTTCTCCACATTTTGAGATACATACAAGGCACTTTGCAGCTCGGCCTACACTTGTACCCCTCTTCTCTCTCGGGGCTGCTGTCCTACACCGACGCCGACTGGGGTGGCTGCCCGGATACAAGGCGCTCCACCTCAGGCTATTGCGTCTTCCTTGGCGACAATTTAATCTCGTGGTCAGCAAAACGACAGCCCATATTGTCACGTTCAAGTTCCGAAGCCGAATATCGAGGGGTAGCCAACGTTGTGCCGAGTCTTGCTGGCTCCGTAACCTCCTTCTTGAACTTCGATGCCCCATCAAGAAAGCCACGGTGGTCTATGGTGATAATGTGAGTGCGGTTTATCTCACCGGCAATCCCGTTCAACACCAACGCACTAAACACATTGAAAGGGATATCCACTTCGTTCGTGAAAAAGTAACTCGGGGTCAAGTCCGCGTCTTTCACATTCCCTCTCGTTACCAAGTCGCTGATATTTTCACCAAAGGGCTGCCACAGATTCTATTCGAAGACTTTCGTGATAGCCTCAGCGTTCGATTACCTCCCGCTACGACTATGGGGGTGTATTAGATACAATGTATATTTTAGATACAATGCATACATTATTCCCTATGTTGCTACATTGATGATTGTATAGTTTTCCCCAGGTTGTATATTATTTCCCAAGATAGCATTTACCTAGAAACTATCGTATATATACTCTGCCAAGCAATGAGAATGGCAAGGGATTACTTTCTTACAAGTGTCTTAATAAGATAAATATATAGTGGGATCAATGATTATCAAGAAATGTGAAAATATCTTATGAGACATTTTTACAATAACTTATTAATGTAAAACTAAGGTAATTTTTACTATATTTTAGGAGTGAATTAATTAAAAATAATATAATTTTTTCGAATCATAGTGTCTTGACTTAAATGATGCAACTCACACAAGAATGCCTTGTTCTTACATCTTTACAAAAAAAACTTATTTTTTCCCTCATTAAGTCTTTGATTATTACTGTACATTTATATTGTCCTTTAAGGCTTTATATAACTTTCTTTTATTTCTTACCTTTATCAAATCAATACCAAATTATTGTGCACATACAATGTATCATGCCATTTATCATGCATATATACTTTATTCTATGAGTTTTATATGATTAAGTTAAGCACTTTTCTAAAACAATTACATGGTATTGTTTTTAAGGGACAATTACATGGTATTAGTATCACGTGAGAGATTATATACATTAAATAACAATAAAAATATAGTACCTCTAATAAAGGCTATAGTATGTACATTTTCGCCAAACAAATTTTTTAGTAATCAAATTATTAATTCTTGCAATTATATATATTTTCCATTTGTTGATTAGAGCAATTGTTCTAAAGAGCTTTAAAACCGAGTACATACGAATTAGTCATAACTCGATCATAAAGCATATTGTGACAATATTCGTATGAATTTAGTGGATAAAATTCTTTCTATTATTATATGAGTGACCAAAATAGACTCAATTGATTATATAATAATGTTGATAATTTGGTAAAAGGCAATTACATGTGGCGAGTTGATCATGTGTGGTGAGTACCTTGGTAATATGAAGTAATCCCAAATTGGAGAAAGAGAAAATAAATAAAGTATCACGTCGTAAGATTGAGAAATTAATTACTTTACTTCTACTATCATTAGACCTATTGGTTTTAGCATGGTACATCACCTAATCGATAAGTATAGTAAAATCAAGTACGTATATCTTTGTCAATGTTTTCTCATTTTATGTTTAAACACGGTACGTACGTAATTTATTTTCTAAGTTTCGAATAATCAAAACACCAAACCTACTACCCTTCTATTATTCATAACACCCATAAAGGAGATCGATCGAGCTAGTGCAATGGTGCAACTTGATAAAGAAGAGACATAAGAATGATTAAATAGTTGATGAATTGAACTATACATCTCACAAAGCTTAGACTTAATCTTTGAAATTGCTGTCTCATCCTCCACTTTGTATTGTTTCATAAGAATAATATTCTTTCCTAGGGATATTCTTTCTAAAGATACCAAATTCCTTAGTTATATGCTAAACCATAAATTTGCATAATGTTACACTATACTATGATTGTGTCATGCTCTATCTATCGGGTCCTTATCTCATGATTACAAATCTTATAACAATTTGGCTAATTTACTGTTTTCGTTAGTAGATTAGACAAATGATTATAATGTTCAACTATTATATAATTAAGTAATCCACTGTCATGCATATATAATTATAGTATATCTTTTTTTGAATAGCATATAATCATAGTATCTAATATACTATGTCACGTTTTATAAATCCAATCAATAGTTTGTTATGATACTACATATGTACATGTATGTGTCTATGCGGAATGTTGTGTTGACCTTTACGACTTGTTTGGTAATTGGTATACGATAATGATAACGGGTTAAATGTATGTCACTATGCATGAGAAGTCCATGATATGTATATATAGGGTGATATTAATTAGTGAACATACAATAATGTTTGTTTACAAACTCAAATAGACTCAATTCCTCCTATAGTAAGTTGTGATTTTATATGATTGTTTCATAACTAGATGATCTTACATGCACGCATGTATATGATTGTTTTATAACTTATTTACGTTTTTTATTTGGAATGAAGTTTTTTTTTAAAAAAAATAATTATTGTTTACATAGGATCGGTTTGAAGTTAGTTATTGTACAAGAAATTAATTATATAGAATTAATATTAATTTTAGTACGTGCTCTTTGATTTATAACTATGGTATAT